AAATCATAATTGACATATTTCAGTGATCTATTACTTATTGACTTACATAAGTTTTGTAACTACAATACTAATATTATCTTAATTATGCACTATGCAAAAAATTGTAATTTGATTTATAGTTAGAGATGTCGTTTACTTAACCTGAAACACCAGTATCACAAGCATTTTATGTTTGTTTGATCTTTCATTGGATAATAATGTATAATTTATTATTTTTTATATTAAAATATTTAGAATTTATATTATTTTTTTAGCTATTTGAGTATGTTTATAATTTTTTTAATATAAATTATAGATTTACATATAATCACTGAGTCATGCAGTTCAACCAGCAATGACCCGGTACCTCGACCGGGTCAATAATCGAACCGATTTTAATAACATTGGGTTAGCAATTTAAAATTCTCGGTCTCTTTTACCTTTCCACTTTCTTATCTTGTTAATTAAATGTTAATTAAAAATTTTAGTCTCTTTTATCATTCAACTTTCTATTTAAAAGTTAATTGAAAAGATAGATGTAAAATTTATTACAAGTTCATGCATTGTTGTAGAAGGAAAATATCCTAGTTTTTAATAGTCTTTTACAATTTATTGTTAATGCTGAACTTTTTTCTTTAAAAAAAATATTGGATTTATCGGTTTAATTAGTTTGATTTGAGTTGAATTGATTTTTTTCGCAAACTCAATCCGATTATCTAACTCAAACCTGCATGATTATTTTGGACTCATTTTTTTTCTGGTAATTCAACCTGAGTAAATCCAATTCTACCCAAATATAACCTCAAAATTGAGAAAAACACAAAAAAGAGAGCATAATATTTAATTTGAATGTTTGAAAGACAGTTTGAATTTCTAAAATCGTTAACAAACTATATAATAAGTTATAATGAACAGTGCAGAGAGAATTGATTATAATGTTCATCCATTATTTGAAACTGATACTAATTAGCCTCCACAATTTACAACTATTAATGGTAAGTTACAACTACTTTAATGAGGGAAATTCAAAAAAGTAATTTAAATTTAAACATCCTAGCATTAATGAATCTAATTAATTTCTTAACGGACAATAGTTCTTGTATAAACCACTATTTAAGTCCATTACATTTGCTACCCCTTTTAAATAAACCTTGTCCTCATTTGTGCGTACCTGCGTTAAAACTATCATTAATTCTCTTGAATGAATCCCGCGTGGAAAAAGTAACTTTGATTTGTGTCTTCTGATAATTCTTGAGTGTGTGGTGTTTTCAATATCGTCTCCTTCGTCTTCAAGCTTTTTGGAAAATACTAATGTGTTTTTTCAATATATTTCACCTGTTTAGTTCTTTAATCAAACATATCACCGATATATATATTTCACCTGTTTAGTTCTTTGATCAAACATATTGTAAAGAACTAGTTCAACCCAAAAGATTAAGCTGATGGGTGAGGGCTTTTCAATGATTTTATTTATCTCAACACGCTCCCTCACACGAGAGCCCACTGGGCTTGAAGAGTGGACGATAATGCACAGGCCCATCTACGAAGAAAAAAATTTCACTAGAAAGAAAGTGGGGGCGGTGAGGTTCAAACCCGGTACACCGAGGCTCTAATACCATGTAAAGAACCAGTTCAACCCAAAAGCTTAAGCTGATGGGTGAGGACTTTTCAATGATTTTATATATCTCAACACATATCACCGATGTAATGCAGCAAGAAACGTTGCAGGTGTGTGCGCGTGTAGTCTTGCACTTGTTAGCTGCGAGTTTCATGTAATGACAAAGTGAAACGTGTTCCTGTTAGCTGCGTGTCCTTGACAAGGGTCTTGGACCCTGTGCATACGCGTCTAAACTCATTAATGGTAGCAACGAGTTTCTGACTGTCTGAATGCGCACGATGTACATGCGCGTTTAGATGCGTCTACAGGACGTGCACGTTTTTGACAAATCAGATACCCCTTCCCCCGAACATAAAATTATCAAACTCTCTTCTTCACATACCCCATTTCTTAGGTATTTCACATTCCATATATCAGTCTTTGTTTTGCAGTTGCAAAAAAAGAAAAAGTTCAAATTAAGAAACAGTTTGTGCACTTATATACTATAATGGTAGAAAGTTATGGGTCGCCATGGTGTAACATTTGAAGGTGAGAAACGAACATTAGCTTTGAGAAGTTGAAGGAGAAAATTCATCAGAAATCGGGGTTGCAAGGGAATTAATATGTTTCTGAAGTGACTTTAAGAGCTCTTGCTAGCAATAATGAATACACAACGATATCAATTATAGATAATGATGTTGTTGATATTATATTAGATATACTTGTGCAATTGCAAGGGAATTAATATGTTTTTGAAGTGACTTTAAGAGCTCTTGCTAGCAATAATGAATACTCAACGATATCAATTATAGATAATGATGTTGTTGATATTATATTAGATATATTTGCGCAACAATCTGAAACGAGTTCTGATCAGAGAATACACGATCCTATGAGTGATTAGAGAATACAGTCTTGTCATATATCACAGAAACAACCCTCATTTCACACTTACATTGGTGATTTCTAGCGGTGCATCCCAACATACACCATCGGAATATAACAACATAAAAACCATTAAAAGCCTTCTTCCTTACCATTTACTTATGCACTGCCTTGTCTAAGAATGAGTATGAGTTTTAAAAAAAACTCCACATTGCTTATCTGTCAATCATCATTTGATTTTCTCTTTGAACCTAGTTCATGGGATCTCTACTCTTCTAGGTAGAGTGTCTGCAATGATCAACATTTAATAGCCTTAAACTCATTCCTCTTGACAAACTATACATTAATTCTTTAGTTACACCTTCAATTAACGAATCTGTAATAATACCACTAGAGAGTAATTGCCTCATGTTATCATGTCTCCAAGATATATATATATATATATATATATATATATATATATATATATATATATATATATATATATATATATCAGACTCACCATTATATATAACGCTCTTTGCAACTCTGACTGCTACCTTACTATCATAATATATGCACATAGCAAATATTGATTTCAGCCAATTCAGAATACCCTCAATGAAGTTAGAAAGCCACTCAGCTACCTCACCAACTCTATAAGAGGCAATAAATTCTATTTCATGGTCGACCTTGTAATACATGTTAGTTTGGATGATTTCCAAGACACGACACCCTCATCAATTGTGTACATATACCCACTTGTGGACTTGATGTTACTAGAGTCGGTCATCCAATTTGCATTACAATATCTTTCCAGCACTGTAAGATACTTCAAGTAATGCAAATCATGGTCTTGAGTATGCTTCAAATGACTCGAGATACATGTCAATTCGCTCTAATTATTCTCATTTGGGTTATGACATACATAGTATACTAGCATACTCAACATGTTTCTTAGCTTGACCAGTATGTCTGAAGCATTCCTCAATACTATTATCATATTCACATGTATTTTCATGACCTCAAAATTATACACAAAGAATCAATATGCACTATTATTAAGTGCATATCCAATGAACAAACAGTTCATTGTATTTAGTCCAATCTTAATCCTTTTTGGTTTAGGAATTGCGACCTTAGCCAAATAACCCCACACTTCAAGATAATTAAGGTAGGTTCGTATCTTTCCATATTTCCATATAACATATTTCAAAGGGGACAACATAGCGGACGACATCATTTTCAATGGAGGAAGGGATGTAGTAGCCCAATTGGGCCAATGAGGTACAGGAAGGGGAAGGCCCATTCATATCAGGAGCAAGCCCAAGCATCTAGAAGATTTCATATGTTAATATTAGCTCAATTATAGATTATGGATCAATATGTCTCGAGACTTTAAAATTTTGATTGTTTTAATTTATTGGGTGCTAGTTTTGATTGCAGATGGCCATTTTAGTATTTTTTTCTTTATGATTATTCTATTATTTTTACTTTATATTTATGTTATGAAATTTAAATATTTAATTGGTTATATGATTTATTATGAGTTGCTATATATATTAAATATAAACTATATTATATATATTAAATATATTATTTAATATCAAAATATATCCTAACATGTCGCAATTTAATATTTTTTAGAATTAAAGCCTGTTTGAATGGGTTTTTTTCTTCAAAAGATGCCTTTTTTAAGAAAAAAAAGTATTTCTCAAAAAAAGTCTGTTTGAATGCCTGCTTTTAAAAAAAGCAGAAGTCATAAAAAAAGTCAAAAATTTACTTTTTTCAGAAGCTAAAAATGTTAGCTTTTAAAAAAAGCAGAAGTCAAAAGCAAAATATTTTTTTTCAAAAATCAAATATTTTTAAAAAAATCTAAATAACTGTAACTTTTATAAAATGTGCTTTTAAGATAAGAAAGTGATAAAAAAAACTTTCTTAAAAAGCCAATACAAACAAGCTCTTAATGTGTTAAAATATCATATCATATCTTATATCCCATGACGGTATCGTTGCAATGTAAGTTGGAAAAAAATCCACAGCCACATAATTGACGAGCGACTATTAACACATACAAACCTTTTTGTCCTTGGAACTGGTCTTCATGCCATTTTACTATAACTCCTTACTATAATATGGTATCGTCATTGAGTGCTATGCACTATGCAGGGTTTCCTTGCGACAATAATAACTAATAAAATAACTGACTATAATAATCTCTTAATTACGAATACTATGTTAAAATATTCTCGATATTTAGATAAGCTTTAAAAAATTATTATACAAGGTTTTCAGAATATTTTTGGAAGTTATTCTTTATATCTTCCATATTTTAAGTTTTGTTTTTTTTTAAAAAAACTTCACTTATTATCTTAAGAAATTAAACATTTTTTAATTACCCTTGAGGAAACTCAATAAAAAATAGTTTTTTCTTTTCTTTTTTCCTTAAAAATACTAAAAGTCTTTAACTGTATCCAAGATAAAAAAAACAAACAATACAACGATTGGTCTTTAAAAAAAATCATAAACTTCACCTACAGGAAAGGGATTTGTTCTTCGTGAGTTGACAGCCAAACTTTATAATGAGATAGGTTCAAAAGATCGCGGCATCAGTTTAAACTAATAGCCTACACTTTGATTTGTTTTTGTATAGCCTTTTAAGTATTTAACCTAATATAGTGTTACAAAATCCAGCCTTCCCAAGGTGTTGTAATACATTCAATCTATCAACTTGTAATGCTACTCACTCCACAACCCGTGTCCTGATAAAATTAATCCACTCCAATTCACATTCCCCTCCTCCATCAAGAAAAGAAACTACTGGTTCACAACTGTGTACGCAAGAACAACTCTACCCTCCAACTGATCTTGTCAATTCACCAATACAATATTGCAATGTACATTTTGTATTAATGACATTAGGGATGTATCATTCAACCTTTGCTACTACTCCACCGGGCATATTGCTTTCTACAACCGTCTCCCTTACAAATCTGGGAATTCAACGAGCATAAAATTTAGGCAATTAATTAACAAAACAAGAATAGTTTTCCAAAAGTTCGAACCAAGAATAAAGTACCTTTCCAATTTGTCACGTGATGATTGCAATATGTAGATTGAGAGGATGAAAGACAACATGAGACCTGGATACATCCATGGAAATATTTACAAGCAGTAGCAACAAAAATGCGCTCTCTTGGTAAATTGCATCTTTCTCATATACAAATTCATGAAGTCCTTGGTTTGAAATAGAAAATTTCAAGTAATTTCAATCCTCAGCTATGAAACGTATATTTATATCAGTCAAATCACTAGTACTAGTAAAAACAAAAGCAGCCAGGCATATTTGTCTTTACAAAACATGTGAAAAATATGGGGCACCAAATTACTCACTCTCTTGTCAATGGATTAGTGAGACGGAATGAAAGTTGACATTGCAAGAATAAAATATTTGCAAGAAAGCTAACGAGTTCTCGTCTTTATCGAAACAGAATAGTAAGAAAGGTATTTATTTACCTGAACCAAACAGAACAAAAAATCCTGAAGTAACATCTATCTCTGAATGCTCCTTCCTGAAATATTTCAGAATGCATATTCAACAATTGTTTGTTTTCTATTCTATAATATTTAAAATGCCAAATGACTAAAGCTTATCATTCAAACACTAGTAAACACAGAAAGCTTATACATCCACATCACCAACTGACCCAAAACATTTGTGTGTGTTCATTCCTGTGCTTAATAAACGCTCTAACTTTAGGAGTAAAGAACACTAGGATAGGTCTGGGGGACAAAAGCTGTTGGAGATTTATATGCATTTAAGGCCTACATGTATATAAAAGGAGGGAAAAGTGTTTGTCATTTTAAATGACATGAAGTTATGTCATTTTAAGAGAGAGACAGACACAGAAAAAAAAATTATTTGAATTTTAAATTAAAAAAAACCCATCCACTTTCTCTCTTCCATGATTTCCGTTTTTCTGTGTCTATCTCTCTTCTAAAATAACAAACACCAAACTCATAAAAGGAAGAGGTTAACCAGCAAGCTTGTGAACTGCAAACCAGATAGAAAGAACAAAACAAAGGTTCATGTAGTGAGAGTAATTTGTGCCACAAACACTACCGTTTAAAGTACATGTTTGTTGAATCATTAAAAAAAAGGGGTTTTCAGACATATTGTTGAATTTCATGGGAAAAGGTGGAAAAGAGACTCTAAATAATCAATATTATCATGATACAATGTGTGTAAAATGCTAAATACTTAGATGGATATTCTAGGTCAAGTACTAGTATCATACAACTAGTAAAAGTCCAGCCAAATAACACTACTAGGATAATAAAATTTCAAAAACAATTAGAATCCCAATATTATAACCCACCCCCTCAAATGCAAGAAAATAGGACCAAGAGGCACTATAAATAAATTAGTTCAAAATTAATATTGATTAACCATACGAAATATGAAAATATATATCTGCAAATGAAATAACACCAACCATGTATATCGGACAAGTATATGCTTCGGCCAATGCTGAGCATCCCAGAATTGTTTACCAATCTCGGGGTGAATTTCAACATCTGTAAAGCCAAAACAAAAGTTGTAAGCACAATGAAAGCCCTAAAAAATAAGTGATATAAGCATGGCTAAGTAAACATATTGCTCAATCTTTTTCTTAAATATACCTGACTAATGCCATATTGACTTTTATCAAAGTTGAAGGTATCAACTTATTTATACTTCATTATGAAAGGAAATGTCTACTGAAAAACAGGTTCCACAGAATCAGTTTCTGATATGAACCTTCAGAGAACCTCTCCTCAAAAGCTAGCTCGTAAGGAAGGAGAGCCCAAAGTCCATATAAACCCCATATCAGAAACCTATGTTACTATGTGGGACTCCAAATCCCATACTTTGCAATTGAATTACACCACACTCCGTAGCGCCACGCTCACGAGGGCTAGCTTGGGAGAGTCTCACCCTAAAAGCTAGCCCATAAGGTAGGAGAGCTCAAAGTTTACATAAACCTACACCAGAACCTTACGTTTCCGATGTGGAACTCCAAGTCCCATACCTTAGAGTAGGATCGTAACATTCCACCACGCTTCGCAAGCCCGGTGTTCACGCGGGCTGGCTTTGCGCTAGTCTTTTACTAGCCCTAGACAAACATTACAATGCCAGCATCACCACCCACACCACTCGATTGCAATCGGGAGACATAGTGGAAGACTCTAATACCAATTGATACGAACTTTGGGAGAGCTTCACCCCAAAAGCTAGCCTATGAGTTAGGAGAGCCTAAAGTCCATATAAACCCTATACCATAACCTTATGTTTCCGATTTGAAACTCCAAGTCTCATATCTTGGAGTAGGATCGTAACAGTTTCACTATCAATTCTGTAAGTATATTTATCAACAGTAACTATATGTTTCTCAAAATTAATCCATACACAGTATAATCAATAATACAGACTGGAATGATTTCAGACTGGTAGAATAAAGTAAGAAAAATGGGTTCTTTAACGACATTTAAATACTCTCCTGTAAAATAATAGACAATATTGAATACAGAGATTAGTACATGAATATGCCAAATGGCAATTGAAATTGTACAAGCTAGGTAAAATTTATAAGTAGAATGATCATCTCATAAAAAGAAAAATAAAAAAAGCTTCAATAAATATAAAACGAGGGGTAAATGAAGATTGAAATGGTTAAATTTTGACAAATTACAAATAAACCTGGGAAACATTAAATAAAAAAGTTTTTAAAACCATAAACAATTTACGAGCACAGTCCTTGATATTTCCAACACATTTAGGGAGAATCTTGGCAGAAGGTCAGATACAAAAGCTAGGAATTTCAAAGTATAATAAACAGAAGCATGTCACAACCCAGTGAGCAGCCTCTGCGTAAAGAACTTGATGTTTTATAAATTGAATGATTAGAGAGGAACAACGTACAATGGTGAGGCATATCCACAACTTTTGCTGTGACACCATGCAAATCATTTCCTGAATACCTCTGCACAACATAAAAATTCCAATAAATTCATTTCCAAGTGACAAAATCTTTGCTTTATTGTTTTGCATCCATGAACTCATAATCCAGTACGGTGATTGGATAAATTGAACAAGTTGATGTACATGACCTATCTTAAACACAATATTACCAGATCTACATCGATCATTGGAACCTCCGTACTTTTCCGATTGACCAATAGAAGCCACGGGATTAAAAACTTTTCCCTTCCAACTTGAAATGATCTGCAGATAAATTTAAATAAAAATAAATAAATAAAAAATTATGACCACATTTTCTTCTGCAGTTTAAGAGGGGGGAAAATCAGATAGAATCAAATAGCAAACAATGCGCTCCCTCATATAGCATGACCAGTGTGATTGCATAAAATTTCACACATTACTCCTTTAATTTCCTGTGATGAGCATTCCAACTTTACTTCTCTCACCAATGCACCATAAGAAAATCCGATCTCTTACTAACACACTACTCATTTTATGCAGCTAAAATTCCACAGCCTCTGATTCAAACACACGGTTTATCCAGATTATCATATTATCTATTTTTCAAGCCTAACTATTCTCAGAACAGAAACCCAAGCAATCAAGCATTGTTCATTCTGCAAAGAATAACGACTAGTATATAAAGAATCACAGTACAAACAGCCATAGTACATGTCGACAGGATCCTTAATTGGCATCTGAAATTGATGAATTTGAACCAAATATCTTTTCCTTCAAACTACTTCTTATCTAGTGTCTGTTTGGGTTAACTTATTTTGTGTTCAAAATAAACATATTGGGTAAAAAAATAAAGAGGCGATTTTTTCCTACAATTTAATAAAATCCAAAAATTAACACCTACAATCCAATCCAAAATCAATTAACACAAAAAGACACAGTATACAGAAGAAAATTTCTCACATTTTATAAGGATCAGCCCCAGTGTAACCCGTGGGCTTGGGTATGGGCATCAACACCTACAATCCAATTCCCAGAAAGAACCAATTACAAATCGAAATACAAAGATAGAAAAAATACATAAAATTAGATTGTTTTTTTTTTTTTTCAGAAAACCCTAATTTCGCAAACTTCGAAGATGCGCACCTCACGATTCACTGCGAAGATGGGGCAATGTCGGCCAATAAGGTCCTGCCACACGGTTCTCGACTGCAATCGGAAACAGAAAAAGAAAATCGAGAGATGAAACGGCGCGTATAAGAGAATGAAAGAAGAGAACAACGCAAAAGAGTGAATAAAGGGAAAATGGGAAATGGAGACGAACGGAGTGATATTGACCCATGCGGCTCATGGGGACGATGTCGCCGGGTCTGTAAGCGAGAGCGATCGAAAGAATCGACGGCAATAGCAGCAACAGCAACGGCGAGAGAACCGGTTTCACGGTGGCTTCAGCCATTGCTACCAACTCACTCTAACTCAGATTCACCTTTCAAACTCTCACTCACTTGTGTCGTATTACTTTCATCCTGTTGCGTTTTGGAGCTTGAAGCACTTAGTGAAAGGAACTCGTATTGTCGTTTATGTTTATTTATCGGGCCAATCATTTGGACCGAGCTATGGCCCAAGGAGACTCCATCATGACCCAATCAGTTTAGTCGCCCTTCATAGTTGTAACTTGTAAGACAAATACCTGCCTTAGAAAAAGTTGGTAATTCGTGTCTAAGAAGGATTAAAAATATGGAAAAATAATTTTTCATTTTAAATGACACAAAGTTATATGATTATATCATTTCAAATAAAATGACATGTTTTGGTGTAAATTTGGTAGTTTTTTTAATATTTTCTCTATTCCACAAAATCAGAAGGAGAGAGAAAGTGAAGGTATTGTGAGGAATAGTGGCCACAATGCCACTTTTTATACAAAAAAATTATCCAACTATCACCCGAACATTAAACTTTGCCAAAGTACCACGCGTGCAAGTTCATTAACAGTTAGAAAACTTTATTTGCTAATGTGGCCACCTAATTTGCTACTGTCAGTAGCGAACTACATGTAAATATTAGTCTGTTCTAAACAAAAACAAGACACATGGTGATCTCTCCCAAATTCGCTACAAGCAATAGCGAATTATGAGAGAGAAGATTTCCTTTTTTACTTTTTTTACAAACTTTGTTTGTCTTTTTGAAAAATGAATATGGAAGAAGAGTAATGATATGGTATTGTGAATGTTTACTTTCTTTTTGAAAAATAAAAAGATGGTTTATATTTTCTCTCTCATAGTTCGCTATTGCTTCTAGTGAACTTGGGAGAAATCAACGGCAGACCTACACTGATGTACCTGTCTGCAAGTGCAGACACACATATTTTGGAGAGAAAAAAAAAAGTAATGATGAAGGGCACTAGCTTTTGATTTGCATGACTGTGGTTCTCATTAGGAAAAGGAATTTAATGTCATCCCTTGAAATGGATCTGAACAAAAATAGTGGCATTTCCTTGATCTAGTAGTGCAAGCCCAGAAGGATAAGATCTTTTCTCTCTCCGTCACTTGCCTAAATGATCTTGGCCCACAATATTAACAGAATGGAAGCCAACTCAATTACCCAACCTATACCTAAGGCTCATACTTGCAATATGAGTTATCAATTACACATCATCAGTGAACTCAGCCACACACAACGTGCAGAAAAGTGCGTACTGCATAGTAGCATAAAGTGGATGGTAATCAAATGAAATTGCTATTAATCAGAATTTAGCACTCACCAATTGCAATATTGTTTTCTATAGTATAAAATAGTAGAAGAAAAGGAGTTTTAATTTGTAAAATTAGGACTTTCTATAGTATAAAATAGCATAAAGTGGATGGTAATCAAATAAAATTGCTATTAATCAGACTTTTATGTTGAACATGATATATTTGATAAGATTGATGATAAAGATATAATGCAATATTTTCAAGGAATAAAGAATCGAAGAATACTTTTGTAATCGCTCTATTGTAACATTTTAGTTGACTCTGATTACTATTTTTTTATGTTAAGTTGAAGTTTTCTTTTCTTATTTATATTCTTTTGTATTTAATACATTTAAAATTTTCTTTAAAAAAAATTTCAGGAACAAAACTCGCACCCCCAAATATGTAGACATAAATACAATTTTCTGGGTCCACCACTGCGAAAGATTGCCATGTATTCTGTTCTTGTTCAAAGCAGACTGATATTTTCACGTAGTTCACTACTGATAGTAGCAAACTAGGTGGCCACATTAACAAATTCGCTACCTGCTATAGCAAATTTGTACACGTAACACTTTGAAAACTTTACTGTTCTTGTGACGGTTGAGAATTTTTTTTGAAAAACATGACAAAAGGGTCATTGTTCCATTGTGAAGAAGAAATAAGTTAAAAATCCATCAAAACACGTTTGTTTAACTTAAAATAATAAAAAATTGTGTTATTTAAAATGACAAATAATATTTTCTAAAAAATAATAAGTATAAATAAAAAAATATAAAATCTGAATAGGTAAGTGATCCTTGACTTTCCACGATTTAATATCCTCTTGAATAGGTTAGAGAATATTTGGAATGTAGCCATCGTCTTATACTTGTTTTGAAGGACTTGAACCCAAAGCATATTCTCCTTTGTTAGAATTCCATAACCATTTTTCATCAAAAAGGCATGATTTATTTTGATGCTTTCGTGCATCGTAATCCCAATCAGTTTCTTAAAACACTTATTAACACAATTCAAATAAAAATGAATTCATTGATTTTCATTAGATTATCTTAGTTGCTTAAAAAAAATATAAAGGTTTTTTAGATTTTTGAGATACTAAAGTATTTTAATTTTCACTTAATATTTTTTTTTAGTTTTGAAGAAATAATTAATTTTTCAAAAATATCATAAAAAGATATTATTTTTTTTCAAATAAGTTAATTCAAAATTCTTATTTAATATTTTTATTTTTACTCAGTTAACTAACTGTTGTAATTTGAGAAATCCTTTTCACAAACAGTAACGCAAAGAACATAGCAAGAAAGAATAAAGAAAGCATAAAGAGAGGAGACACCAGTATTTTACAGGTTCAGAAACGCAGTATAAGTGAGTTTCCTACGTCCTGGGGCCTAAAGAGGGTTAAACGCCCTCTGATATGCAGTTTATTCAAGATCAGAAAGAAAAACAAAGAGTTCATAGAATACAGTAAGAGCTATACAGAAACGAGCAAATGAGGAATCTAATTTCTCAAACTATTAACAACAAGACAAACAAATCTTGAATTAACACTCAAGATTAAGAACCGGTAAACAACAGATATTTTAAAAATGAAGAAGACTTCCCAATCTTCACAAGCTAGCATATGAAACGTAGTTCCTATCTCTGGACCTCCAAGCTGAACACACGAGCTTCACAGGACCACCTTGCAGATTATCTTCTCCAGCGTTTGAATACCAATCAGAAAAGTTCTCCGATCAAAGGAACCGTCTTGTTGAGATGAACAAGATTCATCAAAGCATCATAGCCAAAATCACAGTGTTTCACTCAGTGTTTGTACAAACACACTCAAAGCTGAAAACCCTAGCAGAGCCTTTTCTTTCGAGAGATTATATCAGAATACCCAAAAATGATCTCACACACGCATAGCACAAAGGGGAGCAAATATACCATTAAACCATCACACCTCAAAACGCTGACGTTTTGAGGTGTGTTGCTTATTGCATAAAAACCCAACTCCAGCTGAATAGAGGAAATCACAATGGGCCTTGTGTTAACATTTGGCCCACAGACATTTAATAATCTCAACACAAAATAAGAATCAGCCCATCAGAGACATAGTAAAGTGAAGCAAGATATTTACATATATTTTGTTGGGATAGGATATTGTGACACCCAAGTTATGTTACACCCATGTGACACTTAGTCAATCTCACCGTTAGATCGCTTATGTTGATCCAACGGTTATATTTATTTCCATCTTTGTATGATCATGATTTCCCAAATTTAATATTTTCTATTTATTTCTACCTTTGTATGGTTATGATTTCTCATATTTAATGTTTTCACTTTAAATTTAGGAAATCATGACCATACAAAGATGGAAATAAATATAACCGTTGGATCAACATAAGCGATCTAACGGTGAGATTGACTGGGTGTCACATGGGTGTAACATAACTTGGGTGTCACAATATCCTATCCCTATTTTGTTTAGGAAATATATATATATAACTATATACTACACTAACTTTTACCAAAAATAATTAGCATGTTCAAACGACCGAATAAGAAACACGTGTGATTTACAACTATACCTAATTGTGTCAAAGTGTTGCCACATGGAGTAACGTTGCATAAGTAATTCATTATGCAGAGAGAAATCAGTGCTCATTTTTTGTATCATTAAAACAAATATTTTTTTTATGTTGATGGAGATAGGTTATCTCATGTTAGTAACACAAAATTATAAGAGAAATCCATAAATAATTTGAAAAGAGAAAAAGTAGAGATAAGACTCACATTTGTTATGTGTGTATAAGAATTTAATTTATCTCATGTTAAATGAGATAAATACAATCCATCGTTAAATTGATGTATTGTTTTTTATTCCTCAAAATACTTTTCGCTCGGTAAGTGAAAAATAAAAATTGGATGATACGGTAAGTGAGAAATTGATTTCACAAAGTACTTGCTGTACCTTGGGAATGATACGCAATATGAATGTCAACGCAAATTAATTCAAATACTAAAATCTCATAAGGTGAGTATCCAAAAGAAAAATAAAAAATCTCATAACATGTTAGCAGATCATGTATGTAAAGGTGCAAAATTACACATCACTTAAAAGAACTTCCAGGAAAAATTGGGAATTTTTTTTAGTACTATAGATACATTGAATTTTTGATGTATTTTTCACTTACAATTATTTTTTATTAAATCGCTTTCTCATATAATGAATGAAAAATACATTAAAAATTACATGCATACGTGATATTAAAGATATTTTCAAAAAATTGGCGGTAAGGACTCAAATTGACGTGACATTTCAGCGACCTCGTTACCAAATAAAGAAAGTAATGTCTGGCGCTTTGAAAAGTTTTTTTTTTCTTAGTACATCTGCTTTGAAAAGTTAAAGCGTATAGTTTGTAAATAATTGTAAGTGGGCCACCATGCCAGATATACACATAAATTACTATATATTCGTGACAACGTTTTTAAAGTTGATTTGGTTTTTAAATAGGTAATGTTAAATATTTATGATTTTAAGGTACAATTAGGTGTGAATAAGAGTATTTCACATACTTATAATTACAATTGTACGAAATTATGTTTAAGCGTAGATGAATAAAATTATTCAAAAAAAATTTGAAATATATTTATGACACGATCAAATTAATTTATGACACATAATAAGGAAGGAAAGGGTGTCGGGGTTAATTATAATTCAAACGTGAAATAGTATTAGACTTTTTGGTGGCTTTTATGTCAGTTCCATTTAAAGTGAATTTATTTTCAAAATATATGAATATAAGTGTTTTAACTTTTAATTTAATTTATATAATACTATAATATAATTCTTTAAATTTTAAGTATGAATTTCTGGAACCAATGTGTCATTTTTTTGACGATTAGTTATTGAGCCGTGGTACTGGCTTAACGATTTATATAAATTTATTAAAAAATATTTCTTTATAAATTTCAAAATTAATACAATCTGAATTGTTGGTTAAGATTATTCCAGAGGCTGCTATTTTGTGTTTCGCTATATGTAGGCTATGGTCCATCCGTTCCTTCAATCTCCATGTTGCAGTCACCGTTGTCGACGCTTTTAAAAGCAATAGGCAAAGAGCAATTCACGTCTCGATGACACTGACAACTACAATGCAAAGGTATGCATGGCCATTGATGACATTGACAACATTAGCTCTATTATTGCCACCAGAGAGCAAAGCAAAAGCAAAAGCTGGTTGGGAGCCTACTGGCTACTAGGATGGAGATCATTTTCTCTGCTTCTGGAGTATATATGTTTTACCCAAAAATGAAAAATATGGGATATGCGTGAAAATAAATATAAAGGTAAAAGTAGTATAAAAGTGTTAGCTTTTACTATATTTGATAAAAGAAGTATTAAGTACTTTATTTTCTAGGACATGACAAAATCCATTTGATATTTTGCTAAAGAAAGAAATTTGTGACAAATATATATATGTGTTTTATTTAATAAAAAATATTTAAAAGAGATCTTCTTAGATTGTGTCAGTAATTAACATTGCTACGGATATGATTTTGTTAATAATCTATGTAACTATGTTAACTGTTTCTTCTTCGATCAGGATTATGACAAAGAAGTCATCACCATTGATCAACGGTATCACATGCTCACAAATCAGAGTTGTTGATCTTTTTTACTATTATATTTACAAATTATTTATTTATATAATCTTACAAATTCAGTTATGTATTTTTGTGAATATAAACGTTTAAATGTGTATTCACGAATACATAATTGAGTTTGTAAAAAAAAAATTATAAAAAAAACCTATTCAAATCTTTATACTATTATGTATTGGCAGAGTTAGAAAATTTTGTTATACAAGATTAGAAAAGTAAAATTCACACTAATTTTGAAAAATTCTTTAAAAAATTTTCATATATGAAGAATAATCGTGATCTCGGGATGATGGAAGCTATGAATCAATTCAACCTGTTAAGTGATTCACCGATTATTAAAATTTAGACGCCTTGTTTGCTAGGTCCCTTATGTGGTCTTTTCATTTTCTGAGCGACTTTTCATTCACTTCAAACACAATTTGTCTACACCAATCTTTAACACAAGGCACGAGCTATTAATCAGAATTCATAATCTCGGGTGTGGTCACTTTCCGGGTCATAACTCATAACATTATTATTCATGCGTGATTTATATATAACAGTTTCTTTGTCCTCCTATCTTCCCAAAATAAAATCTTAAATTTGTGCTATCTCTTTCTGTCTCTCTGTGTTTTCTTCCTCTTGAGACTGTTGAACCAATGGTTACCATGCACACACGTATGAGCTTTCACGTGGAGCTGTTGAAATGGTATGGCCAATGCTTAGTGTTGACTACTCATGGCTCTTCTGGCAATTATTTGGTGTCTTCTCCTACGAGAACTATGAGTGGAAGCCTAGGATCATCTAGCACCCACATTATATATAAATATATTATTTTGTTGCTAAGTTCTTAGTTCTCATATATCTATGTATAACATGCATAGCACGTGTTAAGTCAGAACTGTTGTTAGCCTTGTACAATCAATACAACCATGTACAAGGGGAGATTCTGCACTGTTGGTGGAGTTAAGGCTCAGGTTGGATATGTTGAAACTGATCCATCTGGTCGATATGGGCGTGTAAGTGCTTTAATTTACTGGTTTGTGAATTGGGTCATGGTTTTTCTGATTAGTTGATGTGCAATGCAGCATAAGCTGATTAAGTTGTTGTGATATGAATTGATCATGAATCAGTTCCCGTTTATGTGTCCATTGGTGTTCATTTTGAATTGAGAATTGAAACTGACTTCTAAATATTACTAGGGAAACTCACATTCTTAGTTGTTTGTATCAAGGAAAAATTTCAATGACAGAAGAGTATTCTGTCTGTGGAAATTAGTTTTATTTAGGGAATTTTTTTTGGTGCTCCAAATCCCATGTGATCCTTCTATTCAAGATATGACACATGGACAAAAAGTTATTTTTTATTTCTTCTCTTTCCTCTCTCTTCATTACTTATATAATTTTGATTGGTCCGAACTACTGAATAAATAGTGATCCCAAATCACTGAAATTCTTCTCGAGTTTGATAATTGATCAAAAAGCTTGGGGGATAAGAGTTGCCATACATTTTAGAAAAAGGGGATAGCTTTATGTTTTTTTTGGTATATACCTAGTATCCAAGGTCCTACTAGACCCGACTAATTTAGTTTTAGATTTGTGCCTCTCCATCCTTCTCGGGGACGGTGACTCTCAGGATTTGAATCCACTATCATTTGTGCAGGTCAAATCCTAGAGTCTAGTTGTGTCGCCATTACACCAACAATTCTTAGGTGATAGTTTTATGTTTTTATTATAGTAGCCGTCTGTGACAAGAGTCAATTGTCCATGGCAGATATTGAGCATTGTTCCTTTACCAAGTCTAGGCTTGTTGGCTTGACACACCACCTTGCACACTTCCCATGTGGTTCTTAGTTTTCATACACAAGTTTAACTCTCTGGCACACCCAAGAAAGAGTACTGACTCTATAATTAAGAATGCAAAATGAATGGTTGAAGCTCACTTTTTAGTACCCATAGTTATGTCAGACTATTATTGTAATCTGGTACCTTTTAATCAATCTAACTCACTAGCTGTGTTATTATGATTGTTTGTGCTTGTAGTTCAGGGATATTCTGGGCAAAGGAGCTATGAAGACTGTGTATAGAGCATTTGATGAGTTACTAGGGATTGAAGTGGCTTGGAACCAAGTCAAGCTCGGTGATGTCTGTCATTCACCAGAGCAACTTCAGCGTCTTTATTCAGAGGTTCATCTCCTCAAGCACCTCGACCATAAATCTATGATGATCTTCTATGGTTCATGGATCGACGTTTATAGCAGAACCTTCAACTTCATCACTGAATTGTTCACCTCTGGCACCCTTAGAGAGTAATGAATCAAATCCTTGTTTATTAACATCCATTTAGCTTAATTGGCCATCTATGTTTCATAGGTTATATTATGTTTCATAGGTTATATTTTTTAATTAAAATACTACATATGTATGTACATATATAGGTATAGGCAGAAGTATAAGAGAGTAGATATCCGAGCAGTGAAGAATTGGACTCGCCAGATTCTAAGTGGTTTGGAGTATTTACATAACAATAATCCTCCTGTAATACACAGAGACCTCAAGTGTGATAATATCTTTGTTAATGGCCATCTGGGGCAAGTCAAGATTGGTGATTTGGGTCTTGCAGCTATACTTCGTAGCTCCCAACTTGCCCATAGTGTCATAGGTAATGCCTCTTGCTATTTTTGGTTGTTACATTTTCAGTTAAGAGTATTCTAAACCATGTTCCTATTAATTGAAATTGTTGAGATATATAAAACCATTAATGTAGCCTCACATAACAGCTTAAGCTTTTGGGTTGAATTGGTTCTTTACATGGTATCAGAGCCTCGTGTCCCGGGTTCGATCCTCGCCGCTCTCCACTTTCTTTCAAGTGGAATTTCTTTGTTCGCACAGGTAGGTGGGCCTGTGCATTGTCCACCCTTCAAGCCCAGTGGGCTCTCGTGTGAGGGGACGTGTTGAGATATATAAAACCATTAATGTAGCCTCACCTAACAGCTTAAGCTTTTGGGTTGAATTGGTTCTTTACAGAAATTTTCTGTTTGATGATACATGCAGGTACACCAGAATTTATGGCACCAGAACTATATGAAGAGAAATACAATGAGCTGGTAGACATATACTCCTTTGGGATGTGTATGATAGAGATGCTTACTTTTGAGTTCCCATATAGTGAGTGTTCCAACCCAGCTCAAATATACAAAAAAGTTACTTCGGTAAGCTTGATTGGACAATGACCCTTCATTGATCTTATTTTCCTAGCACTTAATCTGATTTCATTTCACAAACTTTGGTTCATTTGGTGTACCAGGGGAAGTTACCAGATGCATTTTACAGAATCCAACATTTGGAAGCAAAGAGGTTCGTGGGAAGATGTTTAGTACATGTCTCAAAAAGACCACCAGCAAAGGAGCTTTTGTTGGACCCATTTTTAGCCACGGACCAACTTGAATCAATATTGCCAATCTCAATATTATCTACAAATCAAACTCCAAAGCTTATTTCCAATGAATTTGTTATCACTGAGCAACTTTCAATGGGTGATGATCAGGGAAAGAGCACAGATATGACAATCACTGGGTCAATAAATGAACAGGATAACACAGTTTTCCTTAAAGTGAAGATACCTGACAAAAATGGTATGTGCACAATTTCATGCCACAAAATTAGTATCTTATACACAACATTTAAAGTGTCTTATGTCAAATTGTATTTTGAATTCAGGGCATACAAGAAATATATTATTTCCATTTGACACAAAAAAAGACAATGCTATTGAGGTAGCAAAGGAGATGGTTGAAGAACTTGAAATTAAACACTTGGAACTATTGGAGATTGCTGCAATGATAGACCATGAGATATCAGCTTTAGTTCCAAGTTATAGGGATCGGGGTACTTGTCAGCAACAACGACAGGACAGCTTTAACTATGAAGAAGATGCGGATGTCAATAATCATCATCCTCTTTTCTTATCATCTTCTCCATCTTCCTCTCAGTGTTCTCTTCCCATGTGTGGTTCCTCCTCCAAGATGTACTCTCTTGGGAACCATCACCCGTTTACTCAAGAAAGGCCAAAAGGTACTTCTTAGTTTTATTTTTTCTTCGATAATTACACAAGTAAACTGTTTTCCTTTTTTAATAATACATATTAATTATTGCTTTGCCATTTGTAAATGGGTTTAATGTTTCTCCAATCACTCAAAATAACTTATCTCTAGTGATCCCAAACCGTTATTGTTTTGAGCTTAGGAGAAAAATAATTTTGTAATTTTAATTTATTCTTTAGTTATATTAATTTTTATTATTATAATTTTTTTTCCTAATCCCAAAACAATATTATTCTGGGTTAATGGAGTGATTTGGGAAACATTAGACATTTTGCAAATTCAGAAGTTTTTAAAAATTGAGAAAAATCAATTTACATAAAAGTAAGAATAATTTCTTTTAAAATTAATTATTAACTGTATCTAATGATTTATGTGAATTTTAATCTTCAATAGCCATTATATATAAATTTATTAAGTTAAAAATTATATATAACAAAAGTTATATATGATAGAAAGGATCCGGATATATATACATAGTGAAAAAATTTAAAAAGAAAATTGTAGGCACAAGATTGAGAATTGCATGGCATGCAATTCTATTTTAATTGCATTCGATAGTGTTCGCAATAGAAAATATTTCAAAAAGTATTATAAATTTTATACCAATGAGGTCTTATACATGAACCACTAAAGCATAATTTTCAAAATGATGTATCCTAATAAGCACCCACTAGTTTCTTATATTGGAATAAATACGTAAATTGGTGATCTTAAGATATTTGAGGACATGAATATTAGTTTTTGAGATTGTAAGCATAACCTTCTCCAAGAAAACATTTAATTTTAAAAAAATTATAACATCGATTGTATGAATCTTTAAACACTAACTATATTAGTTCATAAGAAAGTTTAATATAATTAATATTTGTAATCTGTTAGTATAATTTTTTTTTTCATTTTTTGAAACAAATGTATTAACTGCAAAATTTATCTGAAACTAATTTTGAGAGTTTATTCTTTATATTTTTAAGAACCATATAAGAATTATAATCTATTGCTCCATGAAAAATTTGCAGAAGATCTAATTATGAATGACAATGCAAGCTCTCTAAGCTCAATGAACTCTTACAAGTGTTCCAATTTCCAATACTGCGACTCATGCAATGATGAGCATGTCCCAAGAGTAGTAGTAGATGAAACTGAACGCAACAAGTGCACAAGATTATGCCGTGGGGAAGAGGCAGAAGCTAGTTTCCCCAAACAGTTTTTGTACCCCGGAATGGACTCTTGCGGTTGCAGATGTAGTGGTTCAAGCCATGGAAGGTCGAGGTTTACGAGGTTTCGTTCGTGCGTGGAGCGAATGAACCATCATTCGCTAATAATGGATGAGATATACAAGACACGGATGTTCAACACGGTTGGGGCCATGGAGAACATTGGGTTCTATTACCATCCAGAGAGAGGTGGATGCTTTCCTCGTTGAAGCTCAATATAAAATAAGAAGCTCCTATTTTATTTTTTACTTTTGGGTGTTCTTTGTTGCTTTTTTTTTATATATATATATCTCCACCAATTTATCGAATGCTCGACTAATAAAGTTTGAGTAGTACCGGACCCATTATAGGGGGAGGTTAGAGATATTTGCTTAAGGGGAATAAGCTTCTTACCCCTTAAATCAATGGTGGTTGATTGTTAATGTGCTTTTTTATGTCTGATGTATGAATAAAGATAGTTTGATGCTATAAAACTCTCGTTATGTTTTTATGACTGTTGGATCTAATAGTAAGGGGATTTACCTTATATATATTTGTAAGAGGCTCTTGATTATGAGGTTTAGAACATGTTTGATGTATAGTATATGATAAGATCTGATAGTATAAGACTTGATAATATAATGCCTGATTGTATAAGATCTGATTGAATTTTAATACTATCCAGTGTTTGGCACGTTATTGTATAAAATAATATATTGTATAAGACAATATCATCTAGTATTTGGTAAAACACTGTATAATACTATATATGATAAAAATAAATATTTTTAATAAAAATATCCTTTAATAAAGAATTTATATAGTTCTTCAAAAAATGTCAGATGATATTAATTTTTATAAAAATTTATTGATTAGTGTATCCAAAATATAAATTAATTTTTATAAAAATAAAAATATTCAATATTTTAAAAGTTAATATATTTAAAAATTAATTTTTATTTTAATAGATTAATATATTAATCTATTAAAATAATATATTAATTTTTGAGAATTACATTGGTCAACGATGTTAATACATCAATCTCTTATCAGGCCTTATCCCCCACCCTTAGGTTGGATTAAGTTATACATCTTTTTGATGTATTAAGGGATTATGTTGTATAAGCTTATACTATACGATGGTCACACCAAACAACTGAAAATGTCGTAACGTATAGTATAAACTTATACTATCATGCTTTATACGTCACACCAAACAGGCCCTTAGTCACATGGCCAAGATGTTGAGTTTCCTTCTTCAATGCTAAGCCCAAGCCCATTGAGGGATTTCTTAAAAAAAAACCTAAACTCTAGATCTCACCTCCTATATATTCATTAGTTGAGGGTGGAGGCTAGGTCAGAGGTTACGAGAGAGATTAGAAATTTGAGAGAAAATTGTTTGAGCAAAGCTTTATGCTTTGTATTTGAGAAATCCTTAGAGAGAGTTTGATTGAAACATCTCTAGGGTAGTTTGATTATCACCATTGTTGGAGAGGTAGAGTTAACCACCACATTGGTGAATTTGATTCTTTGTAACCATTATTTTCATAGTGGATTTTTGATCTGCACTAGGTCCCGTGGGTTTTTACTTCTTCATTGGAGAAGGTTTTCCCACGTTAAAAACTACTTGTGTTCTCTCTCTCTCTCTCCTTCTCTCTCTCTCTCTCTCCCGTTTTCGTTTTTCATTTTCTGCCGCGCTACCCGACCTGGTGAAGTTCAGGCCGAGGTATTGCCGAGATCCAAGATCGAGGATCTTGCTGACTGACTTCCGCAAAAGGTTGTAGAAGCCGAGTTTGAGGGGTTCTGAGGGAGACGAGATGGAGACCAATGGCATAACCAATGATGGAGATATATTCAAGCTGACCGCAGACAATTTCACCTATTGGAGACCGATGATGGAAGATCATCTCTACTGCAAAAATTTACATGAGCCCATTACCCTTGATAAGAGATCGGAAGGCAAAACCGATAAGGAGTGGCAGATTCAGAGTCGTAAGGCGGTACCTACGATCAAAAAATATATTGACAAAAGCCTCTTTGAGCACGTGTCCGAGTTCATGAACATGCATGAGTTGTGGACGAAACTGGAGTCCATTATTCAGAAGAAGACTCCCAGCAACAAAGCACACCTGGTTCGCCGACTTGTTAAGCTTGAATACAAGGACGGTATGAGTATGATTGAACACCTCAACACCTACAAAGGTATTGTGAATCAGCTGTCAAATGTTGAGATGAAAATTGATGACGAGATGCAGGCCTTGCTGCTGTTGAGCTCGCTGCCAGAAAGCTGGGATACTCTGGTGGTGACCTTGAATAATTCGACTCCAGATGGAAAATTGAAGATGGATGTCATGACAGACAACCTCTTGGGCGAAGAAGCCAGGAGAAGAGAACGAGGTATTTCGAGCACGTTTGAGGCCAACGTTGCTGAGAACAGAGGTAAATCCAACTCCCAGGGTAGAAGCAAGAGCCGGGGTCGAGATCGTGATAGAAGAGGAAAGTCCAGAGGTCGGTCAAAGCCGAGATATGAGTTGAAGTGCTTTTACTGTGGAAAGATAGGTCATAAGAAGCTAGATTGCTGGACTTTGCAGAATGATGAGAAGAACGACTCTGTGAAGCCGGATCAGATTATTCCCAAGAAGAGGGAAGACAAGAGCACCACTGCGGTGGCTGCCAACTCGAATGCCGAGATATTCCTCCTAGGTGAGGATAATTATTTGAATGTTGCATATGATGACTGCATCTGAATTGTTGACTCCTGTGCCTCCTTCCACGTTACTCCACACAAAGGTTTTTTCTCCTCTTACCGAGGTGGTGATTTTGGAGTCGTGAAGATGAGAAATCAAGTGACCAGCAAGATTTTTGGTGTCGGTGATGTAACCTTGACCACAGATGTCAGATGCTGACTTGTGTTAAAGGATGTGAGGCATGTACCTGACATGCGTTTAAATCTAATCTCAGTAGGCAAACTTGACGATGCCAGGTTAGTGAACTACTTCGGTAGTGTTAGATGGAAGCTGACCAAGGGAAACTTGGTCGAGGCCCGAGGTAAGAAGGAAGGCTCCTTGTACGTGATGCAAGGAAAGATCAATGGCGGAGAAGCCAATTCTGTCTGAGATGAACCTACTTGGAGCTATGGCACAAGCGCCTCGGCCACATGAGCGAGAAAAGGCTCCAAATCCTAAACAAGAAAGAATTACTGACTGGGTTGAAAGGCAAAGCGTTGGAGAGTTGCACGCACTGCCTAGCTGGAAAGCAGCACCGGGTTTCTTTTGTGAGACCGGATCAACCCAGACGACGCAGGTATATTCTTGACCTCGTCCATACTGATGTCTGCTCCATGTTAGAAAGATCCCTTGGAGGAGCTCAGTACTTTGTTTCATTTATTGATGACCATTCTTGCAAAGTGTGGGTATATTTGTTGAAGTCTAAAGACCAGGTACTCCAATCCTGTAAAGAATTCCATGCTATGGTTGAAAGGAAGACTAGAGAGAAATTGAAAGTGGTCCGATCTGATAATGATGGTGAGTATTACGGCCCATTTGATACATACTGCAGAGCGGCCGGGATTCGACTTGAGAAGACGCCCCCCAAGACTCCACAGTTGAATGGACTTGCTGAGAGGATGAAGAAAACTATTGAAGAGAATGTACGAAGCATGTTATCCAATGCCGGATTGCCGAAATCATTCTGGGGAGAAGCCGTCAGAACTGCTATTGACATGATCAACCTCTCACCATCACGACCACTTGAAGGATAAATTCCAGAAGAAGTCTGGGCAGGTCGAAAAGCGGCCTACAAACAATTGAAGGTGTTTGGTTGCCGAGCTTTCGTACATATCCCTAAAGATGAAAGGGCAAAACTCGATGCGAAGACAAAAGAATGCATCTATTTTGGTTCGCCGAGATGTGAGTTCGGGTTCCGACTTTGGGATCCAATCAATAAGAAGATAGTGAGAAGCCGAGATGTGATCTTTCATGAAGATGAGAACATTCATGACATTTCGAAACCCAAAGTCCGGGTTACTGTCAGACGTGAATAACCCGTTCCTCCTGTCCGAGCTGAAGCAGGGGGAGAAAATCAAGAGAATGAAGAAAATGATGACCAACAACAAGCTGATGATGACCAAGACATTGAGGTCCGAGTTGATGATGAGATCCAGGATGAAAATGATGAACCGGGTTCTCAAGTTAAAGAACAGACGAGATATCCAACTCGAGAAAGAAGACCCTCTACAAGGTACCCATCTGATGAATACACCGTTGTTGCTGAAAACAGTGAGCCTCAGAGTTATGATGAGGCTGTAACGAGCTCAGAGAAAGAAGAATGGGAAAAGGCAAAGCAAGACGAGATGAAGTCTGTGCACGAGAATCAGACTTTTGAGCTGACCGAGTTGCCTGAAGGAAGACGAGCTCTGAAAAATAAATGGGTCTCCAAGGTTAAGAATGAAGAGAACGGGCAGAAATTGAGATACAAATCCCGAATTGTAGTGAAAGGCTGCAATAAGAAGAAATGAGTAGATTTTGAGGAGATTTTTTCTCCTGTGGTGAAAATGACCTCGGTCCGAACTGTGTTAGCCATTGCGGCTTCGATGGACCTCGAGGTAGAACAAATGGACGTGAAAACAGCATTCATTCAGTGATTTAGAAGAAGAAATATATATGGAGCAACCTGAGGGGTTTCGAGCTCCAGACCAAGAAGACTTGGTATGTCGGTTGAAGAAGAGCCTCTATGGCTTGAAGTAAGCACCTCGGCAGTGGTACAAGAAGTTTGAATCATTCATGACTGATCACAAGTTTGAGAAGACAGAAGTTGACTACTGCGTATTTGTGAAGAGGTATGAGGCCAGAGATTTTCTGATATTGTTGTTATATGTTGACGACATGCTTATTGTAGGGAAAGACAAATCGAGGATAACCGCCCTGAAGAAGGCGTTGAACTCGTCCTTTGCAATGAAGGACCTCGGCCCTGCAAAGCAGGTTCTCGGAATCAAGATTATCCGAGATAGACAAAAGAAGTTACTGTGGCTGAGTCAAGAGAAGTATATTGAGAAGATTCTAAAGAGATTCAACATGGATAAAGCCAAAACAGTGAGCACCCCCTAGCCGGACATATAAAGCTGAACCAGAAGCAATGTCCGAGATCTGATGAAGACAAAGATGAGATGATGAAGGTCCTGTACCAATCCGTCGTCGGAAGCTTGATGTATGCAATGGTTTGCACTAGACCCGACTTGGCGTATGCTGTTGGAGTGGTAAAACGGTATCTGTCAAACCCTGGCAAAGAGCACTGGGAAGCAGTGAAGTGGATATTCAAGTACCTCCGAGGTACGACCGACTTATGTCTCCGATTTGAGAAGGCAAAGCCGAGTTGCAATGCTACTCGGATTCTGATTTAGGGGGAGATTCTGACTCGAGGAAATCGACGACGAGATACATGATGAGATTTGCCGGAGGAGCTGTCTCTTGGGAATCAAGACTTTAGAAATGTGTTGCATTATCGAAAACCGAGGCTGAGTACATTGCCGCTACTGAGGCAAGCAAAGAGATGCTGTGGATGAAGAAGTTCTTCATGGAACTCGGCCATGATCAAGACAAGTACGAGCTGGGTTGTGACAATCAAAGTGCAATCCATCTTGCGAAGAATTCGACCTATCACTCCCGTACTAAGCATATTGATGTGAGGTATCACTGGATCCGGGAAGTGGTGGAAGGTGGAGAGCTCGAACTCGTCAAAGTGCACATTGACCAGAATTGGTCCGACATGATGACAAAGCCAGTTCCTGCAAGAAAATTTGAAGACTGTTGTAAAGGAGCCGGGTTGATGCTGAAGCCGACGCATTGAAGTCAGAGGGGGAGATTTATTGGGCTTCCTCCTTCAATGTTAAGCCCTAGCCCATTGAGGGATTTTCTCAAAAAAAAACTAAACCCTAGATCTCACCTCCTCTATATATTCATTAGTTGAGGGTGGAGGCTAGGTCAGAGGTTAAGAGAGAGATTAGAAATTTGAGAGAAAATTATTTGGGCAAAGCTTTATGCTTTGTCTTTTAGAAATCCTTAGAGAGAGTTTGAGTGAAACATCTCTAGGGTAGTTTGATTATCACCATTGTTGGAGAGGTTGAGTTAACCACCACATTGGTGAATTTGATTCTTTGTAACCATTATTTTCATAGTGGATTTTTGATTTGGACTAGGTCCCGTGGATTTTTACTTTTTCATTGGAGAAGGTTTTTCCACGTTAAAAACTGCTTGTGTTCTCTCTCTCTCTCCCGTTTTTGTTTTTGATTTTCCGCCGCGCTACCCGACCTGGTGAAGTTTAGGCCGAGGTATTGCTGAGATCCAAGATCGAGGATCTTGCTGACTGACTTCCGCAAAAGGCTGTAGAAGCCGAGTTTGAGGGAACCGATATTTCCCAACACAAGATACATACGGTTGTGCTAAGGGTGAAGTGTGAATATGCATTTAAAGTATGGACAATGAATGTATGTCTATATGTGATAACACCATGAGAGTTGTTTATGTAAGATTTTGCATGAGCTCTTTATCTTGTACAGTGCTAGAAAATTCACACGACCAAATTGAATCAAATATATTAGCATAGTCAAAGGTGAAATGAAGACACTATTGTTTGGTTTGTGAACAGGAAAAATAGGAGAGAGGTCGGGGTAAAAAAATGGCATTGAAAAGGTGTCGGGTAAAAAGTGTATGATCATAATGCATTTTTAAAAAGGGGAAAGTGTTTTTCCACAGATAAAAAATACCCCAAAACTATGTGCTCAAAGGAATTGACGGGAGCCGCACAAGTAATTGAACATGTAACCTTATCAAATAACAAATCCTCTTGAAAGGGAGGGGTATCTTTCGGAACGCGAATGGCTATTGTTAGATGCCGTGAGTGTTAAGTTCTACAATAAATGCAACTTTCGAGTTTAGTTATCAATGTTGAGTTTAGAATCCTGAATGTTGGTGATAAACTAGAGGAAGGTGAGGATGACATCAAGCCATTATGCTCCTTATGCCCTAGTCACACATGTGCTATACTGGTTGGGACAAATGATCGCGAAAAAAAATACAAGATATTTTGAGAATTTTACTTTTTTCTTGCATGCAAATTTCTCCAAATTTGCCCATTATTTCTTCTGCGAATCCTAAAATAATATCGTTTTGGATTACGAGAGATAAACCAACAGAAATACTATACCTTTTTTAGGAAATAAGGTCACAATTTTTTAATAAAAATATGTAACAATTTTTCTATGAAATAAAATAATTTTATCTATTACTTTTAATTCTAAAACTTGTACTTTTTGGTAAAATAAATCGCACCTTCATGAGTAAACATCCAAGAATTTCATGTTTTTTAGATATCTCATAATATTTAGACATTATTTGTTGAGATATATAAAATCATTAATATAGCCTCACCCAACAGCTTAAGCTTTTGGGTTGAATTGTTTCTTTACATGGTATCAAGAGCCTAAGAAACTTTGAATTTTTTTTTTTTTCCGGTGAACTCACTGTTCATCGTCTTTTAAATTTTTTCCGGAACTGTCACGTTGTCAGTTTCCGGTACGTTTTCTTCCGCGTTTAAAACTTCTGTCTACGTCAACCACACCGTTCGATGGAGTTTTCTGGTGAACTGTATACCGATGTGCTCGTCTTGGAAGCACGAACTCAACGGCACCGGCCATACCCTCAACGGACCTCTCACGCGCCCTCACGCGCGCGTGCAAGATCCGGTCTTCTCTTCCACCAAGGCGGCGCGTAGGACCTCCTCTCCGGCCGCAGCTGGTTGCGTTCTCTTCGTCTCCCTGTGACGGTTCTAGATCTGGTCCTGGTTCTGTGTTTGGACTTCGTTTTGTGTTGATGTCAGATCCCTCTTCTACCGGTTAGTCGTGTGAGGGGGCGTGTTGAGATATATAGTCCCACATTGATTGTGTGGGCAACTAATGTGGCCTTTATAAGGCCTTGGACACTCCCACCCTTTGGTATCAGAGCCTCGTGTCCCGGGTTCCTCCATTTTCTCTTGTGGAATTTCTTAGCACAGGTAGGTGGGCCTGTGCGTTGTCCACCCTTCAAGCCCAGCGAGCTCTCGTGTGAGGGGACATGTTGAGATATATAAAACCATTAATATAACCTCACCCAACAACTTAAGCTTTTGGGTTGAATTGTTCTTTACATTATTATTTATAATGTTTGTATATATTTTAGCTAGTTGGGATAAAATATTTGGTTACTCTTTCAAACTATAGCACTAGATGGAGGATTTCAAGCAATCAATATGTCTGAGAATAACAAACAGAAAGTTGGAGGTGATTGCTACACAAAGAAGACACTTACTGAGATTAGAGAACAGTACTAACCAAAAAGCATGCATTTTAACAATCACATAGAGAAAGATGTGAATAAGAAAGAAATCTTGCCATGATTCACAATCGCCATCACATTTATCGAGTTGCAGACAACACTTCACAGTCGACACATTTGTATATAATCTGTAAAGTACTTGTCAATTGTCACAATAAGGTGATAAGTTTTTCGTGTTACGTGAAAAAACTTTAGGAAAATTGCGTGTGATCTTAAATTATATAAAGTTATGTCAATTTAAGTGAGAAAAAGATAAATCATGAAAAATAGAGAATGGATAAAAAAATAAAGATATGGGTCTTACTTCTTTGTAAGAGTGAAATGATAAATTGTGTCATTTAAGAAGACAAACACTTTACCAACAACTTATAGAAAGAAAAAAACATGGGGCCCAAAAAATTAAAAAAAGAAAAGAAAAAAGGTGGGGGGAGGGGGGATTGGAATTTTTTCTATGTGAGGGAAGGAGGGGAATGATTTCTATAGCCCCAGCGGGAGAAACTCATTCCCCATATAATAATATATCATAGAAGATATTATTTCATTTCATCAAATTACTATGTCCTCTTAATTGAAAAAATAAATAAATAAGAAATACTATAATCCCTTTGCGTTATTTGTATTTTTTTATTTATAAATCATATATATCCTTTACAGGAAGCAATCTTATTCGAGGCGGAAAATTCACGTCATGACGAGTCTAACTCTCTTAAACTTTTTTTTTTTTTCATTCACAATAATTTGAACTCAAAATCTTATTTATGCAAGGAATCAAACATGTAACCCAACCCTTTTGGTTTGCTTTATTTGTATTCTTTATTTTTTTGAAAAATTGCTTTATTTGTATTCTAAAAAAAATGGAATAAGCTTTATTTGTAGTCTGACGGCATATAATTTTGCTTTTGGGTGGCCCAAAACCAGATGGAACCAACAAGAAAGTAAGAAATGATGAGATGGGTGAAGCAAAAGCCAGGCCCTTTAGCCCATAACATGAAATTGATAGAAAAACTGAAAAAGGTTAACAAGCACAAAACTGCAGCCTTTAGTCCAATGAAAATTTGTTAGTAGTTAAGCTTCCCTACAGCAACTTCCACAGAAAATCCACTATGCAGCCCAATTAACCAATTGAATTCGTCTTAAAATACACGTGGCGAGAGACATATGGATGTAGATGATACACGATAGACCTCCATTGCAGGGAATAACATAAACTCGAAAGTCGTGCGCACCACGCGAAATTGAGTGCACCCACCAACGAGAGGGTCCCTCGCGTGGTTCCAATTTCAGCTTTCGAAAAAAGCTCCTTTCTAACTGCAACCATCGTTCATCTTCATCATCACAATTTTCCTCCATAACGACGTCGTCTCCGTTACAATTCTTTTTCATCATCTTCATTTCCTTCTACTTTCATAATCGCTTTTGAAATCCTCATAGTAACACTTTCACAGCACAAATAAACGACGTCGTCCCTATCGTCACCATTTTCTTCCTACGTAATGTGATCGCTTCCGGAAAACAAAGCTTAAACGGCGTCGTCGCTATTGCAATTCTCCTATGATCAATACCTTCTTCTTACATACATAATAATAGCTTTTGAAATTCTCATCGGTGATTCTGATTCATCTTATTCACCAAAAAAAACAAAACGTTCAAACGACGTCGTTCTGGATGCCGATCGCTCGCTGCAACAGTCAGATACCGGTTCCGCCACCGTCGCCGATCCCCACCGGCAGAGGATCGCGCTCCGCCGCTAACGAGATCTTCAGTCAGTTCCTCGAGGAAGCGCTCAAGTTGCCGGCACTCACGCTACCGGACCCTCACATCACGCCGGCTCCGGCAGAGATCGACCTCCGATCGCTGCCGCTGGCCTCCGCCGATCTTCTGCTGCACTCCGCCAGGGAGTTCGGCGCGTTCCGGATCCGGTGCCACGGGATCTCCGGCCACGAATTGGGAATGGTAGCGGACGAAGCGGAGCACGTTTTCCACGACTCGAAGAACGTCGTCGTTGAGCGTAACGAACTCGGCGGAGAGAGGATTCCCTGCGTTCGCTCTAGCAAGGGAGCGCTGGAATTCACCGCTCACAAGATTCTCGGGAACCAAACGCATCGTAACTTTTGGTATTTTATATATATATATATATATATATATATATATATATATAGGGATAAGATATTGTGACACTCAAGTTATGTTACACTCATGTGACACCCAGTCAATCTCACCCTTAGATCGCTTATGTTGATCCAACGGTTATATTTATTTTCATCTTTGTATGGTCATGATTTCCCAAATTTAAAGTGAAAGCATTAAATATGGAAAATCATAACCATACAAAAGGTAAAAATAAATATATGGGTGTCACGTACATAATTTGGGTATCACAATAAATATATATATATATATATATATATATGCTCCTCGTTTTGTTTTAGTTTGCTTATTGGATTATCACTTGTTTCGTTTCTTGTTGTTGAACCTTTTGGATTTTGATGCACCTTTTTCACTTACACTCTATGGATGAATATTCTTCTTGCTTCCACCGTGAAATGTGTAGTGGCTTCCCTCGTTATCACTCTCCACCATCATCTTTTCATGCAAACTATTTTCTTTTGTTGACATTAAAAATTTGGGTTAAGTGTGTCGTTTTAGTTTTTTTTTTTCACTAGGATATAAATAGTTATAATATTTTTCTCTTTCTCCATATCTTCTATCTGAGAAGAAGAGAGAAAAAAAAAGATAACTTTTCATATTGTACCTATATACATGGAAAAACTTTTTTCCCTAAAAATACTTCATGTGAATGTTACACTTACTAACATTTTAGTCTCACTACTCATATTACTTGATTGGTTATCATTGGATCAATTAATTTTTCTTATTTTTTAACCGTTGATTTCAAATTGATCCAATAATAACCAATCAATTAGTAAGAATAGTAAGATTAAAATGATAGTAAGTAAAATCGCTACATGCATTATATATAATTGTTATTAGGTACCAATTATTCTTAATTATCAGATTTCAACTGAGAGAAGGAGATAGATAAAGGAGGGGAGAGAGTAGATAAAAAAATATAAATGTGTGTCTCACCTCTCTATGAGAATGAAAAGATATAAGTTGTGTCATTTTAAAGGATAAACACTATTCTCTTTTATCATGCACTCTGTCAACGAATTCGAGCAAGCCATCTAGGGGTCTCTTGTAGAAGAATTTGTCGAGGAGGGACATGGTTTCGTGCGCGTAATCACATGTGGGTTGGTGGGTAGGAGAGAAAATGTAGAGCTCCCAGCCCTTTGGTTTTGCAAGAGAGAAAAAAGTAGAGAGAGAAAGAGGAGAGAAAGGGAGAAGAAAAAGAAAAAAAGAAGATCAGGGAATAAAATTCAGGTGGATAGATGGAGAAAGGGAAATTTTCAAATTTATCCAATTTGGTACATTTTTTTTCAGATAGGAAAATTATTTTTTCATTTATATCCTTATTTTTCTTTATTATTCCCATTAATTCTGAAAAACTTTTCCCATTAGGTAGAGATGTACCTACATCTAATGTACCCAAGGTTTTCTCGGGTAATGGAGATTAGAAAGTGGAGTTTGTAGCTACGGAGCTTAGCACCGTGTGCAGAGTGACCCGATGTGGCTGTTGTGATATCTCAATAAATATTTTTAAAATTGTAATTTTTAAAATTGAATAAATATGTATATCATATTTTGATAATATCTGATTCACCTCAAACACTAATCATATTATTAATTTAAGGCACATCAAATATAGGATAGGATATGCGCATATCATGCCTATATCATTTTTTATCTTTATCCAACTCTCTTATTCTTTCCATTCTTATCCTATCATGTTGTCCAATATTTTGATGCTATTACTTCATTGTAGTGTTAATGATTGTGCACTAATCATTACTCATGAAAATTTTATGCTGAAATTTTCATTATTCAAAGGATACCAAACTAATTATTACTGTACATATTAATCTACTGCATTGAAAATAATAAATTTTAATAAAGATAAAATTTGGAAGAATTCATTAAATAAAGAAATAATTTAAATAATTTATTAATATAATTTTTTCATTATTATGTAATAATATGTTTTGTATATATATATGCTGTCAAATTATTAAATAACAATGTATTACATCACTATTTCATCAAAATTTAACTTTTGTAAAATCCTTTAATTTTTGGTAGAGTCGAATGACATTGTTTGGCGATGTAATTGATTATTGACCCTACTATTGGGTTGTTGTTGATTGAATGTTGTTAATTGTTGTATAATTCAAGGATTAATTTTCACTGTTAACGGGTATAGAAGAGAATAGATAACTAGTCAACTACATTGTCATTTGTCTCTAATGGAGACAAAACAAGGTGCTAACTTGTTTTATATCACGCAGTGTTCATATGGGAAACGTTGCAAGTAGATTGGATAGAATAGTGGAGCAAGTGGCTCTAGCTCTACAGCAGGACACATCTCAAGAGTTAAAGGAAAGGATTCAAGAGACAGAGTCAGTGATTTGCTTGTGCAGGTATCCGCACGACAATGTCCCTAAACAAAATGAAGGCGTCACGGATAAGAAAAAGGACAGATTATTATGTGATCATGCTTTGCGCTTCTACCTTCCCATGGAGCATTGTATATTTTACGTCCAAACTGAACGAGGTCCCCTGTCATTTGATGCAGGTCCAGAGAATATAGTTGTCACCGTTGGCAAACAACTAGAGGTAATTTGACCTTTTATTTCAAAGTTCAGCAATGTATGTGGGGTGATTTTATACTTGCAATTTAAATTTGACATATGTGTGTAAAGTCTTTTATAATATTATCTAGCAATTGATATCTACTTAATTAGTTTGGAATAAAGATAATATTTTATTTTATCTTATATAGACACGCCATTATAAGGTTAAATTTTGGAGTAACAAAGTGTTGCAGTCAAACTGTTTAATAATTTGACAATACATGGCTGGATTGATAATGTTAAAAAAAAAAAATTACTGCAACCTAATGAGATTAAGATAATGATATTACCCTATAACAGTTGTTTTTCAAAGAGTCGCTGAACTTAAGATGATATAGTAAGGTAAGAATTGAAAAAATGATTTCCTATTTCTGTCCAAGTAAAATATAGTAATTAATAGACTGCAAAAAATTTAAGGCTGGAGGAAGTAAACATAAGTAATAGATATGAACATCAAAAATCCAATTGTTTAATGAGAAACGGTCTTTTATTTGATCTCTATTAGGCCCCATTATATAGAAAATAATATGTACGACCAGAAGCTAACCAAAATTCCTCTTTATGAATATAGGAGTGGAGCCACGGTGTATTCAAATGTGTACCTGGGGAAATGATCTTTATGACGAGTTTCCAGAATAGCCAGGCCTCTTTCTCCATAGAGCTTACGTGCTCAGCCTACTCAAATCTACATCACAATTTAAACAATTCTGACAAGATAATATCCTTAACGGATCAAATCCTTATTGTATTTTTCCTGGTATTCTTATACAAATTCCTATACTTTATCTTTTCTTGATCCTCAGAACATGGTTGCACCATTTTCTTTTCTTTGGATGCCTTTTGCGTGGCCATGATGTTGCTCTTACCCAGTGACACCAAATTTTCCTCTTGCCTTTTCTTTTTCTCTAATTTATTTACAAAAGCCATTTTGATGTACAGTTCGAGTGTAAAGGTTGTGGTTTTTGGTTAAAATACCAGTTATGACCTATAGACATGATTTTGTGTGAGTTGAAAGTAGCAAAAATGTTGTGCGCATATGCATATTGAATAATGCCAAAACACTGGAAGCAAAGATTTGCACGATGGCTTGTATTGTCATATGATAATTGCTGTGTCCACAATTATAACCTTTAATGGTTGAGACACAATGTTTATTCAAATCCCATTCAATATTGTTCGTGCAGGTATGGGATCTTAGGGCCGTTCAGGTATGGGATCTTTAGGGCCGTTCAGGTATGGGATCTTAAACAGCATGTATGCAATCCTTTTCTCATATACGCAATCATTCTTTTACAATTTTTTTTTTAATAAAACAACATAAACAAACTTTTAAAAACACTCTTCTTCTATATATAGAAAGAGAGGTGATCAATTTACATATGTATAAGAATAAAAAAAATTACATTTAACTTTAATCGTTTCCTTATGTATCTTGAAAGCCAGTGTGGCCCAATGAATGGCCCAATGAAGTCAGTTAGGAGATTTAACAGAATAGAATTAGTTAGTGTTATCTAACAAACTTGTAATAAGTCAGTTAGCAGTGAACCAATCTATAAATAAAGATTGAGTCTCACTTTGTAAATGATAAAGTCATTTTTACAATCAATTGAAAGTGAATAGAGTTTCTCTTTGTCTGTCATCTTCTTCCTTTTTCTTTCTTTCTCTTCTTGACTTTGATACCTTTCATGGTATTAGAGCTTCTTGATACATGGAGACAAACAGATATGTGCTAAACTCTATCCATACCTTTTCTAATCCAGTTTCTTTCAAACTGGGTGAAGACAATTTTTTACCCTGGAAACAGCAAGCTCTAGCCACAATCAAAGGCTATGACTTAAACAAATTCATCACACAAGAAATTCAAGATATTGTACCTGCTGGAGTTGATTCCACCGGAGAAAATGCAGAAAGGGTTCTAACAGTGAAGTTCCACCCTCAGATGTTCAGAAAGCACGTAATGCTCAACAAGACCAGCTGCTTCTGTCATGGTTACTATCATCCATGTCAGAATCAATATACACACGTATGGTTGGTTGTTCTAACTCATTCTAAGTTTGGAGCAAACTTGAAGAATTTTTCTCATCACAAACACGAGCAAAAGTCAAGCAGCTCAAATTGCAACTAAAGAATACTAAGAAAGAAGGTGAAGTGTCAAAATACTTACTACAGATCAAGAAAATTGTTGATTCCCTAGCTTCATGTGGTTCATCAGTTAATTCAGAAGATCACATTGATGCTATCTTGGATGGTTTGAATGAAGACTATGATTCTTTTGTAACATCAGTTATTTCAAGGACTGATCCTTACACAGTAGGAGGAATTGAAGCACTCTTGATGGCTTAAGAACAGAGATTTGAGAAACATAAGAAAAATCTTGCTGGAACTCTTCAAGCCAACATGGCTCAGCTGCAATTCAGAAGGCAAAACAATTCCTCAAACTTCAACAGAGGAGGTTTTAATCGAGGAGGAAACTATGGAAACAGAGGAGGTTTTAATCGAGCCTATAGAGGAGGAGGAGGAGGCAGATACAACTCCCATTATATCAGACCTCAGTGTCAAGTTTGTGGCAAAATTGGCCACCTAGACTTAGAATGTCATCACAGATTCAATCAGAATTTTCAGAGTCAACTTAAACCAAGTAACAATTCCAGTATAGGCCAACCTAACAGAAACCAATAATGCTGGTGGAAGCCAACAAAATGATGACAATTCTGACTATTTTTCTCTCTCAAACTCCAGCTGGTATCCTGATTCTGGAGCCACAAACCATTTCACACCAGATGCAAGCAACCTGATTCACAAAGCAACATACAGTGGTCAAGATGCAGTTCAAGTAGGTAATGGTTCTAACCTAAAAATCAAAAATGTAGGTCACTCAATTCTATACTCTCCTATCAGGTCATAATATTTTACTTTGTCCAATCTTTTACATGTACCTGGTTTATCCAAAAAATTGCTAAGCGTTTCTCAATTTGCAAAAGAACACAAAGCCTTTTTTGAATTTCATGCTAATATCTGCTATGTCAAATCACAGGCTACCAAGGAGATTCTTCTCCAAGGCAAGCTTAAAAATGGTCTATATGCTTTTGATGGAGCACAACAACTTCCAAGATTCACTGCTGATGGAAACTCTCCAAGTCTAAATACTTCTGTTTTTTCTAATTCTCACATCACATGTAATAATACCTCTAGTGTTGCTACTTTAGATCTTTGGCATTCTAGATTAGCTCATGCTTCTATCCAAACTGTAAAGTTGGTTCTTAGGCATTGTAATATACCTTACATAAATAAAAATGATTCCAAACTATGTTGTGCTTGTTGTATGGCAAAGATGCATTAACTTCACTTACCTAATACTACTACAACTTATACTAGTCCTTTGCAACTCATACTCTCAGATATTTGGGGTCCAGCTCCTACAGAAAGCACATCAGGTGCTAAATACTACATTCTTTTTGTAGATGCATTTTCCAATTATACCTGGATTTATCCTATGGTTAACAGATCTCAAACCTATGGCATATTTGTTCAATTCAAAACTATGATTGAACTACAACTAAACACAAAAATAAAATCACTTCAAACTGATAATGGAAAAGAATATCTAAGACTCACTCCCTACTTACAAAAACAAGGCATCATTCATCGTCTTACCTGCCCCTATACTCATCAACATAATGGAAAGCCAGAAAGAAAACATCGCCATGTAGTAGAAACTGGTTTAGCTCTTCTAGCTCAATCAAATTTACCTAATAAATTTTGGGAAGATGCCTTTCTAACTGCCACCTATGTCATAAATCAACTACCCACACCTACTTTAAACCAGAAATCTCCTTTTGAAATCCTATTTCAAAGAACTCCTGACTATTCATTCCTCAAAACATTTGGATGTGCTTGTTATCCATACCTTAGACCCTACAACAAACATAAAATGGATTTCAGATCAACAAAATGTACTTTTATTGGTTATAGCACAAAACATAAGGGTTACAAATGCCTAAGTCCAACTGGTCATATATTCATAGGTAGATATGTCCTATTTGATGAGTCTAAGTTTCCTTATTCTGAACCTTCTCATTATGTTTCTAACAGACAGTCAAATACTTGTTTCTCAAGTCCAGTTATTCCTACTATTAACAATATCTCACACCAAATACTTCTATAATTCCAACTATTTCTCCTATCACTACCTCTGAGTCTGTATCTCACACACCAATTCAAAATGTATCTCCAATCAATTCATCTACACTACCAACTACACACACAGACTTGAGTGATCCTACTATTGATCTTTGGTTAGAACTACTAATCCTTCTTGCAGATCCTCTAACACTGTTTGCAGATTAAATTCCACTTCTCTAACTCATCCAATGATCACCAGGGCTAAGAATGGCATATTCAAACCAAAAGCTCTCATAGCTTGCCTAGAACCAACTTCTGTTGTACAAGCATTATCCTTACCTCACTGGTATAATGCAATGCAAGCAGAATATACAGCTCTCCTACAAAACAATACTTAGTGCCTGTTTGGATCCTCTCTTTTTTAAGCTAAAAGCTGCTTATAAGCATAAGCTAGGCCAAACAGGTTTTAGGAAAAACTCTTATAACAAAAAACTCTTTTTTTTATAATGAAAAAAAAAGCTGAAAACTAAAAGCTCATAGGAGGAGCTTTTTTTTAATCTCTTATCTGTTTTTCTTGAATTGTGTGCTTTTTTTTTTAAATAAAGAGTGATAAAGATAGAGAGATAATTTTCTTGAAATATGTGCTTTAAAGTAATTTTTAAGCTAAAATCTTTATGTAATTTCCAAACAACTTTTAGCTTTTTTTAAGCTCTTTTTTTTAGCTTTAGCTTATAAGTAGCTTCTAACTTAAAAATAAGAGGATCCAACCAGGCACTAAATTTATCCGTGTAAGAATTGTGAAGCACCTCACTCTTAAATTTATTTTCTATTCATAAATGGTTGCGAATGTACTTGTTGTGGACTTGTGGTGCTATGGAGTCAATATTTGCTTTTATAAAGCAAAGAGTTTGCAGGGACAGAAACAAGAGAAAGGGGGGGGGGGGGGGGGGGGGGGGGGGGGGGGGGACCTTCAAAGTTTAAAAGCAGAAGTGGAAATATATAGGAAAAAACAGAGAAGTCAGCCTAATAGAAACAATAAAGCAACAAATGTCTATGGAGACTTATTTTTTCTTTACAAAAATTAGGGAGAAAGGAAAGCATTTCTTTTTTTAAGGATAGGATATATTACTAACCTTAATGAATATTTAGTGAAATTACGTATAGCTAATGAATACTTACTAACATTAAGGATTGGACAAATAACATTCCCCATTGCTATGTAGTCCGTGGTCCGTATTCAGTATCCACTTATAATCAAGCAATTTTCGGCATAATTAAGCAAATGGCATTTTCTAAAAAATATTAGTCAGCGACAAATTATGTAATGTAATGTATTATTCGGGAAGAGGAAACTTCGTTAATCGTGCAAATAGAAAAAATAAAATAAAAATAAAAACTTCTATAGCGGTTAGGATGTCATAGTTAGAGGCCCCATGAGAATCTAACATGAAATAACTGAAATTTCTTGCAACACCACACATTTCGGGGTAATATAGAAAATCTCATCGTAATCTTACTATAAGATTACGGTAGGAACATCTTGAATATTGCCTAATCTAATCACTCAGCATTAATCACATCAGACAGTAATGAAGGGTCTTAATCCAAGTAAAATCTTCAGTATTATCATCAAATTTCACTATTGATTGGGACCCTTTTATTCATGCAAGTGACAGCGTAATAGAACTAAAGAATTAATCAAGCCACAATAAAGATCAGATAGCTCGATGTTCTTTTGGATTTTGTTGAGATGAGGCTAATGAAATTTGGTGTGGCTTTTTTCTTTTGTTGGGTTGAAAGAGTGTGTGTGCACAGAAA